CCCACATAGACCCACCACATCCAGGAGAGCTTCCACTTTGCTGGGGTGGTGACGAGGAAGGTGGCGAGTGAGCCAGCACGGCAGCGCGTAGCGCATCAGCAAGCTGCTCACCTGCTCTGCCTGGTGGTCCCGGGCCCTCTCTTGCATGGCCCTCAAGCGCGCCGTCTCCTTCTCCTTCTCCCGACGGATTCTCTCCTGCTCAGCTTCAAACTTGGCCTCGCGCTCCTGCATGGGACAGAGCCTCGTGACAGCTTCCTGCAGCACCTCTCGCGCCTGGTGAACCTGTTCCAGCGCCACACACGCTCAGTCCTGTTACCATTTTCTGCCTCTGGTACTCGAGCACCCGTTCGTCTGCCATCTTCTCCTGCTCCCGCTGCTCCTCCTTGAGCCGCTGATTCTCATCGTTGATGCGTTTAATCTCAGCCTGGATTTTCTTCTGTTGCTCCTGTCTCCGCTCCAAGTCCTGAAAACGTAGCAGAGGGTCTGAGGGTGACAGCGCAAGCGCCACAGCACAGAGCGCTCCCTCCGCTCCTCCCCGTGCGCCTTCCTGAGGGGCCCCCAGCACCCTCGGGGCAAGGGAGGGCTCAGGTCACTTTCTGAGGATGCCTCAACTTCCCCAAGAGACCAGAGCTTTAATTCTGCCGGCTGTTGTCTCCACACACCAAGTCTGATTTACCCAGCACTGGGTCACCCTTCTAACGAGGTGAAAAATCTAACTCCAGCCCACCCTGCTGCGTCACTGGCCGCACCTTCAGGTCCTCCATCTTCAGCTGCTCCAAGTACTCCAGCAGCTCCTGTGCCTCCTGGTCCCGTTGCTGGGCTCTCATAGCCTGCTCCTCCGCATTCTGCTCTATCTGCTTCACAAGCTCCTGCCTCCCTCTGGAAAGAAGAGAGCAGAAGGTTTCCCTCTGGCTCCGTCCCGCTCCCAGAAGCAGAAATGCCAGCACGGACGTTGGGTGGTGTGTCTGCCGCCTCGTGCTGCCCGCTCCACTCACTGTGACCGGGAGGCGCGCTGCAGCGTGAAGCTGGCAGCCGCAGCTTATCCCAGCTCCTGCCCAAGGCCTGGGAAGAGGACGGATGCCTCCGTGGCGAAGAGGGACTCTTGCAAACCTGATCAGCTCCTGCTTCCTCCTGCGCTCCAGCTCCTCCTGCATCTCGTTGGCCTTTTTCCTCTCCACCTCCATCATCTTGGCCAGGCGCTTCTCTTCTTCCTCCAGCTCTTTTGTGATGAGCTGCTTCTCGAGGATCTGCGTGTCGCGGATCATGTGGCACTTGGCACCGAGTATCAGCTGCAGGGACAAAAGGTCTCCCTGGTCTCCGAGCCAGACTTGGCAACGGCAGCAGGGACAGACATGCAGACGAGGAGGGGGAAGAGGGAAGGAGAGGAAGACCCCGGGTAGCAATAAGTAGAGCAGGGTTTAGGTCTACAGCGGCTGGGTGGAGCTCATGGGGGCTCTCAGCAGCCTGTCCGAGCGGGCAGCTCAGGCAAGGTCTTGGCATCTGCAGAAGGTGCTGCAGTGCCGGGCGACACAAGGGAGATCCCGGCTCTACCTCGCTGAACTCCTTGATCTCGTCCTCCTGCTCCATGCGCATCCTGCTTGCCCGCTGCAGCAGGTACTGGGCCCGCTCCTGCGCCTCCTCCTCCAGCTCGCTCAGCTTCCCCGTCTGCTGCTGCAGGACAGCCTTTTGCTTCGCCGCGCTCTTGCGCTCGCTCACCGCCTCCTGAG